AGTGGGGCTGGTGGGGAGCGGACGAGGGAGTCACGGAGAGAGTGGTCCCTCTGCAAAGCAGATAAGGGTGGGGATGGAAAAATGTCTTTGGTGGTGGGGTCGGATTGCAGAGACGGAAGTGCCGGAGGATGATGCGTTGGATCCGGAGGTTGGTGGGGTAGTACGTGAGGACGAAGGGGATTCTCTTTTGGTTGTTATTGCGGGGAGGGGGTGTGAGGGATGAGTTGCGGGAAATGCGAGAGACGCGGTTGAGGGCATTTTCGACCACTGAAGGGGGGGAAGTTGCGGTCCTTGAAAAACGAGAACATCTGGGATGTCCGGGAGTGGAATGCCTCATCTCAGGAGCAGATGCGGCGGAGGTGAAGGAATTGGGAATAGGGGATGGCTTTTTTGCAGGAATGTGGGTGAGAGGAGGTGTATTCTAGGTAGATGTTGGAGTCGGTAGGCTTGAAATGGATATCGGTTTCCAGGTGGTTGCCAGAGATGGAAACAGAGAGGTCCAGGAAGGAGAGCGAGGTATCAGAGATGGTCCAGGTGAACTTAAGGTTGGGGTGGAAGGTGTTAATGAAGTGGATGAACTGTTCGAGCTCCTCATGGGAGCACGAGGCGGTGCCGATACAGTCATCGATGTAACGGAGGAAGAGGCACTTTTCACTGCAACTGCAGGAAGTGCTACACCTGCTCTTACACCTCCCCCCTCACCCCCATCCCAGGCCCAAAGAAGACTTTCCACATCAAACAGATGTGCAGACGTGTTCACCTGCACATCTGCTAATGTGGTATACTGTATCCGCTGTTCCCGTTGTGGCCTCCTCTACATCGGGGAAACCAAGCGGAGGCTTGGGGACCGCTTCGCGGAACACCTACGCTCAGTTTGGAACAAACAACTGCACCTCCCAGTCGCGAACCATTTCAATTCCCCCTCCCACTGCTTGGACGACATGTCCATCCTGGGCCTTCTGCGGTGCCACAACTATGCCACCCGAAGGAACAGATCTCATATTTCGCTTGGGAACCCTGCAGTCCAATGGTATCAATGTGGATTTCACAAGCTTCAAAATCTCCTCTCCCCCTACTGCATCCCAAAACCCAGCCCAGCTCTGAAAGGTCTAGGCCCGAAACGTCAGCCTCTCTGCTCCTATGATGCTGCTTGGCCTGCTGTGTTCATCCAGCCCTGCACCTTGTTGTCCCAGCTCATCCCCGCCTCCCTAACCTGTCCTCCCACCTAACCATTCCTCCCACCTCAAGCCCCACCCCCATCTCCTACCTACTAACCTCATCCTGCGCCCTTGACCTGTCCGTCCTCCCTGGACTGACGTATCCCCTCCCTAACTCCCCACCTGCACTCACCTTTACTGGCTCCAACCCTGCCTCTTTGACCTGTCTGTCACCTCTCCACCTATCTTCTCCTTTATCCATCTTCTATCAGCCTCCCCCTCTCTCCCTATTTATTTCAGAACCCCCTTCCCCTCCCCCATTTCTGAAGAAGGGTCTAGGCCCGAAACGTCAGCTTTCCTGCTCCTCTGATGCTGCTTGGCCTGCTGTGTTCATCTAGGTCTACACCTTGTTATCTCAGATTCTCCAGCATCGGCAGTTCCTACTATCTCTGTAACAATTATAAATATAACACGTGTTTTAATGTCTGTTTAACACAGCATCAAATTATTTCATGGTTTCACTTCTACATGACTTCTAAAGATGTATAAATAACTTGCTGAGCATTTTTGCTGATAGATTTCTTCTTGTTTTCAGTTGTCAATAAAACGTATTTTTCTCTTCAAGGATTTGGAGAAAAAATGAACATGTCAGCAATGAATAACACGGTATCCTCAACAGGAACATTCTCAACCAACAATTTCACATCCGATGACTCATTTCATTGCGATCCACCTGGATCCGCCCATAATGCAGCTTTAATAGCAATTTACATCATTGTGCTCATGGGAGGTTCTATTGGAGCCTTCGTCATGGCTTGGAAAATTAAAACAGACAGCAAATCTGTGACATCCACTGCCGTTGTAAATCTTATACTGATGCACACATTCTTTCTCCTAACTGTGCCTTTCCGCATCTCTTATTACGTTCTTGGTGAGTGGAAGTTCGGTGAAATGCTTTGTAAGCTGGTGAGTGCAATGATTCACGTTCATATGTACCTGTGCTTCATGTTCTACGTGGCCATAATTGTCATAAGGATGCTCAGTTTCTTTCGAGAAAAGAAGACAGTGGAGTTTTATCAACCTTGGCATGCGGGGGCTGTGAGCCTGGTTGTCTGGACATTGGTGTTTTTTGCCATTTTCCCACTGTTTCTGGGTTTCTATGGCATTTCAAAGAACTATAACCAAAAGCAATGTTTTCAGTTCCAAGCTGAAATTGCAAATAAATTTGTGAAATTTGTAAATCATCTTTCCGGCACCGTTGTACTATCGACGATCTGTGTTTTGCTTGCCATTCAGATATATGTAATAACGAAATTAACGAACAAACATGCAGGCACCTTTCGCAAACAGCAGCAGTTTGGAGCTCAAACAAAAACATTGCTGTTCTTACTGATTATGATTTTGTGTTTTCTACCGTACCTTGGATTCAGGTTGTTCTACGTAAAGCAAATCATGATTTACCCTTGTTCATTGAACTTACACACCGTTAATGAAATATTTTTAGCACTAACTGCAATGAGCTGTTTTGACGTACTTACCTTCCTTGTGGCGGCACATTGAGAAATTGGCTACAAACACAGAGAATGCTGGTGAAACTCAATATTTCTGCAGCATTCTCTGCATTTGTTGCAAATTTCCAGCATCTGCAGTATTTTGCTTTCATTCAAGAACTTGTTAACTCCTGATTTCACTTCAAGTCAGTGTCAATCTTCATGTACAGTAAAAGCATTGAAAACTACATAACAATTTTATATAAAAACAATAAGTTTTGTGATTATATGGTGTGCTATGTGCAGACCTATTTCAAATGCATGGCAGCGGTGGAGCAGGTTCCTCATTTTCTTAAAATTGTCCATCAGTGGATGAGCTGCATGATAAATAGCAAAAGATGATTCATGATGTAGTATTACTGTCTGGATATCTGCCCAATAACTCCCCAAAATGCCAGGAAGATTTCTACTACCATACAGCCTGCAGAATTGATACTCTTGAGTAGCATTTCCCAAGTGACACCATTACCACTTGCACTGTTCTCTTGCTGAGTGTGGTCGCAGAAACAGTCCAGAGAAGCAGTTCCTGGAACAAGTGCAATAAGCAAGGCTGAAGTATTTTCATCCATCTTCAGCCAGAAGTGTTAAGTCGACAATCCATCGTGGCCTCCCCTTGAGGTTCCCCAGCATCACAGATGCCAGTCAACCCCTAATTTGATTCAGTCCAAGTGATGTAAGGGATACTGAAATTGTTATGGGTTTTAACAATGTTCTGACAATAGTACTGAAGACTGTGCTTCACAACCAGCTGCATCTCTAGACAAGCTGTTCCAGTATAACTAAAACATTGGCATGTACCAGGCAACAAGAAAGAGTTCCTAGCTATGACCTGTCCATAAAAGCAGGAAAAATCAACTTGGCTAATTACTACCCTATTAGGCCACGTTCACTCAACTGCAAAGTGATGGAAGGATTGACTATCAAGTAGCACTTGCTCAGCAGTAACCTGCTCACTAATGCTCAATTTGGATTCTGAAAAGACCACATAGCTCCTGTCCCCATTGCAGCCTTGGTCCTAACATGGTAAAAAGAGCTGAACTCCAGAAGTGAGGTGAGGCTGACTGCCCTTGATATCTATACAGCATTAGACTGTTGAGGTTGGTTGGCTCGCCGAGTTGGTTTCTTGTTTCACAGATGTTTCGTTACCGTGCTGGGTAACATCCTCAGTGCAGCCTCCGCTGAAGCTTCACCAGACAAAATATCCTGCTCAACTGGCAGCCCATCCAACATCTTCAATATTCACTGCCTTTACCGCTGACACAATGACAGCAGTGTGTACCGTCTATAACATGCACTGCAACAATGCACTCAGCTCCTTCAAAAGCACCTTCCAAACCAATGACTTCTATCATCTTGAAGGACAAAGGCTAACATGCATTGGGGCACAACCACCACCTCATAGTGCTGCTCTAAATCACATGCCACCCTGACTTGAAACTACACTCCCTTCCTTTGTTATTACTGGGTCAAAATCCTGAATCTCCATTCCTAACACTGTGGATTTATGTCAAAAACTATATCTTTAAGAAGGGAATTCAGCATAATCTTCTCATGAGGGGTGGGCAATAAAAGCTAGCTTTGCTAGAGACACACATCCCATAAATGAAAAAAAAAGTATCAGGATTCCCTAGATGATTAATGATGTAGACGGCAAGACAAAACAGGAAAAGGATGTGAATTACAGATGTCATGTTGATAATCAAAACAAGAACCACGCTGAATATAGAAATGTCAAAGGGGAAATGAAAAAAAGATATCGGAAGAGACGGGCAGCTAACATAAAATAAATTCACAAGTCCTCCATAGGCATATAATTACAAAAAGGGCGTTAAAAGGAGGAATGGGACCTATTAAGGACTATAAGATGGATTTGCACATTGAGGGTGAGGGTGTAATTATAAAATAACAGATGTATATTCGTTGATTCCTTTTGAACATGGACATAAAGTGGAAATAAATAGAGGCAACTGTGGTCCTGATATCAGCCACCAGAAGTGACACAAATACAGAGGATGCTAGAGAAACTCAGCAGGTCTGGCTGCATCTGTAGAGAGAGAAACAGAGTTAACAAACACATTGGAAACATTAACTCTGGTTCTCTTTCCATGGATGCTGCCAAACCTTTTGAGTTTCTCCAGCATTCTCTGTCTTTGTTTCAGTTTTCTCACATCCAAATGGAATTCCAAATGGAAACTTCCCAAATGAAAATGGAAGTCCTTCTCCTGATAACTACCAGTTAATTACTCTCCATTGCTGGCAGTGCTCCTGTGACAGTAGTCCCTGTTGGTATTACACTTGGGCCTTCACCAAATTTAATCATGGGTTCCTTGGAGAAAGATGACAATGAAATGGGTTGGGAGCCTTGGGGAAGAATCTGCCTGAAAAGTAGAGGGATTCAACAGCAGGCTGGTGTCAGCAGACCTCCTTTCTAATGGTAGGCCTCTCCATCAAGCATTGTATACTGTTTACTGAAAGACTCAGACAGAAAGCTGCATGCTCGTCAAAACAAAATGGTTTGCTTGTCGGATTCCCTACAAGCAGAGTCACCTGTTTGCTGCTGGTTAAATAACAAGAAGGACAGGACAAAAGGGCTTAAGTAGGCATTAATTGCCCAATTGTAGCCTTCTACCAGTTGCCAAGCAAGAATGCCCCCCAGCAAGCCTGTCAGCTCCAGACACTCAAGAATGAAGCAGGGAGGTGGTGGGTTCCATGCCTGTTACCTCCTGCCCAGTCAAATGTCCACGCTGCCTTGGACCTACGTTCCTTGGGAAGGGGAGATAGGAAAATAAGTATTGATTTTATGATTTTAAAATGGAAGTTGAATGTTTTACAGGATTGTGCCCTATTTTCTAAAACTCCTTCCTTTGAAGATCACATTTGTCCTTAACTCCTCATGTGCAAAACATTGGGAATATAACTAATATGTGAATTGATTCAAATTGTTGCACTTTCTTTAAAGCTAACAGTAATGCTTTCTCCTTACTCTGCTAGTTTGTTATTCTATGGCATTTTCAGCTCCTATGAGCATGGTGCATATTATAATATGTAAAAGTGACCATCATGCATACCTTGGAACTAATAGGAAATTTACAGGGGTTTATGCAAACCATATCAACCACACAGGAAAAACAGCTTCATGAATTTCATTGGGATCACAAGTAAGTGAAGACAGAATACTGCCATTTACTTTCTGCCTGTCTTTACCTCTCATCACTTTTAGACATACTTTATTTGCATTGGGAAGATTATGCTGATATGGAAATGCAATCAATAAGCTGAGCTTCAGATCACAATGATATCAATATATAATCTTTTATTTGGAGTGAGGTCATCACATTCTGGTATTTTCAAACAAGCTCAGATCCTGAGCATTGCCAGACAGTGTCATAGTGAGCACTTCATGCAAATAGATTTTATATTTTCTCATATAGTTTTTCTTTGTGGTTCATTGAGAGTGGTGAGGGAGATAAAAGAAAAAAGATTAGACTAAAAAAAACTTTTCAAATCTGAAGATTTATATAACTTGACAAAAATAATTTTGAACTGATAATTATTAAAGCTGTATACATAATATGTGATAAAAATTATTGTTTCATGTGTAAATTATTTTTTAGATTTATTAAAAACTTTCACTGTCAAATGATATGTAATTAATGCTTAATACATTTTATTGCCCTTTTGGAAATTCATTGTAGTTATTGCTATGTGTAACAAAATATAAAAGAGAGCAATATTACAATAAGTCTCACTATAAAGCATAGAACATAGAACATAGAACAGTACAGGCCCTTCGGCCCATGATGTTGTGCCGAACTTTTACCCTAAACCTAAGGTCTATCTAACCTCCACCCCTACCTTATACTATCATCCATATGCCTATCTAATAGCCGCTTAAATGCCTCTAATGAGGCCAACTCCACTACCCTCTCCGGCAATGCATTCCACGCCCCTACCACTCTCTGAGTAAAGAACCTACCTCTGACGTCTCCCCGATATCTACCTCCTTTCACTTTAAAACTATGTCCCCTCATAAAGGCTACCTCCACCCGAGGAAAAAGTCTCTGGCCATCTACTCTATCTATACCTCTGATCATTTTGTACCCCTTTATCATATCACCCCTCATCCTTTGTCGTTCTAAAGAGAAAAGCCCCAGCTCTCTCAACCTTTCCTCGTAAGACCTCCCTCCATTCCAGGCAACATCCTGGTAAATCTCCTCTGCACCTTTTCTAACGCTTCCACATCTTTCCTGTAATGAGGTGACCAGAAGTGGACACAATACTCCAGATGTGGCCGAACCAGGCTTTTGTATAGCTGGAGCATAACTTCACGGCTCTTGAACTCAATCCCTCTATTAAGGAAAGCTAACACACCATACACCTTCTTAACAACTCTATCCACCTGGGTGGCAGCTCTCAGGGAACTGTGAACATGAACCCCAAGATCCCTTTGCTCCTCCGCACTGCCAAGAATCTTTCCGTTAACCCTGTATTCTGCTTTCAAGTTTGTCCTTCCAAAATGAATCACCTCACACTTTTCAGGGTTAAACTCCATCTGCCACTTCTCAGCCCAGCTCTGCATTCTATCAATGTCTCTTTGTAACCGAGAACAGCCCTCCACACTGTCCACAACGTGACCCACCTTCGTATCATCTGCGAACTTGCTAATCCACCCTTCCACTCCTTCATCCAAATCATTTACAAAAATCACAAATAGAAGAGGTCCCAGAACAGATCCTTGTGGTACACCACTCGTAACTGAGCACCATGTTGAATATTTTCCGTCCCTTTGTCTTCTAAGGGTCAGCCAATTCTGAATCCAATCTGCCACATTTCCCCCTATCCCATGCCTCCTTACCTTCTGCATGAGCCTACCATGGGGAACCTTATCAAACGCCTTACTTAAATCCATGTATACCACATCCACTGCTCCAGCTTCATCCACGTGTTTGGTCACCTCTTCAAAGAATTCAGTAAGGTTTGTGAGGCAAGATCTACCCCTCACAAATCCAT